GGATGAAGATAGTTCGAGAGAGAACAAGTAAAAAGTTGTGGCTATCTTAGGAGAAGTACATTGAACGTGTACTAGAACACTTCAACATGAAGAATGCTAAGCCAGTCAGCACACCTCTTGCTAGTCATCTAAAGTTGAGCAAAAAGATGTGTCCTACAACAGAGGAGGAGAAAGGGAACATGGCTAGAGTTCATTATTCTTCAGCAGTCGGAAGCTTGATGTATGCAATGGTATGCACTAGACCTGATATTGCTCACGCGGTTGGTGTTGTCAGCAGGTTTCTTGAAAATCCTAGAAAGGAACATTGGGAAGCAGTCAAGTGGATACTCAGGTACCAAAGAGGTACCACAGGAGATTGTCTGTGCTTTGGAGTATCGCATCCAATCTTGAAAAGCTATACAGATGCTGTTATGGCAGGTGACATTGATAACAGAAAATCCACTACTAGATATTTGTTTACATTTTCAAGGGGGGCTATATCATGGCAGTCGAGGTTGCAGAAGTGTGTCGCACTCTCTACAACTAAAGCAGAGTATATTGTCACTACTGAAGCTGGCAAAGATATGGTATGGCTCAAACAGTTCCTTCAAGAGCTTGGATTGCACCAGAAGGAGTATGTCGTCTATTGTGACAGTCAAAGTGCAATAGACCTGAGCAAAAACACCATGTATCATGCAAGGACGAAGCATATCGACATGAGATATCATTGGATTCGAGAAAGGATAGAGAATGAGTCTATGCAGGTAAAGAAGATCCATACAAGTGAGAATCCTTCGGATATGCTGACTAAAGTGGTACCAAGAGACCAGTTTGAGCTATGCAAAGAACTTGTCGGCATACACTCAAACTAGAACCTCTGGTGTTACCTCCTTCAGGTGAATGGGCCTGGAGGGGGAGATTGTGGGGTCCATCCCCATTAAATAATATATAAAGGAAAAAAGGGGAAAGCAATAATGATACCAAATCTGATCTTGGTTGAGTGAAATCTATAAGATTTCAAAAGTCAAGATTGGTAGGCATACCAAATCTGCAGAAGAGAAAAATGTCAAAAATAGTAGGCATGAGAGAGTAAGGTTCCGCCTATAAAAGGAGAGCTTCGGCTCTCATTTTATACACCAACAAAGAGAGAAAGAAAGAGTGAGGTTTCACATACAGGGTATAAGAAAATAGTCTGTGCGAAAAATAGAGAGTGAGTGATATTGTAGTGAGGTGGGAATATCAAAAGAGGGTTATTTCCTTTGAGTGTTGTAGTGGTCTTTGGAGTATTTTACTCGGACCTACAAAGTGTAAAATTCCTTACTATAGTGATATCAGTTGCTCCTCTCGGGGCCGTAGTTTTTTCCCTTATTAAAAGGGGTTTTTCACGTAAAAATCTTGGTATCGATTTTACTCTTTTATTCTTGTTAATTACTGTATCTCGGTGCTACATTATTATTCTGCTTTTATTATCGTGAATATTATTTCTGTGGGGGTTTATTCCCTACAAAAAATTAATATTTCTCGCATATTTTATTAGAGGTAAAAATACCACGAAGTATATTCCATGGTAGATTTCTTCAAATGGTGGATCTAGATCAATATGTATTGAATGAGGCATCGCCATTTGAAGGTTGTGTCAATGTTAAACCCTAAAACTCATTGCTGTCTATTTAGACAGTGAAACCCTAAAAGGCATTATTCATAATTGTTCCTCATTGGAGAATTTGAGTCTTATTAGTCCTTGTACTAAGCTTAATATTGACATTCAACACAACAAACTCAAGATAATAGAGATTAAAGATGTTGATATAATAATGAAGTTTACTTTAGTATCTGAAAGCCTGATTGAATTGGTGTTTCAACCTTCCTCTTACTCCTCCGAAGTATCGCATATTGATTGTCCGAATCTTCGGGTCGTCCAGACACACAACAATGATCTGCTAGAGTGGTGCACACAATAAGTGCTTATTTTGGGAAAGCAAAGAATTGGCAGATTGTTCTAGTCATCATCTGAGATTGGTGCGGATTAGAGGTTTTACTGGAAAAGAGCGTGAAATCAGATTTGTGATTCATATAATAAAGAATGCATCTGTGTTGGAGAAGCTAGAAATCAAGTTGAGTGATGGTTGTTTAATACTAGGAGCAGCAGCTACTCTAGGATTGTTGTCAGTGCCTAGAGCCTCTGTTAATGTGTCTATAGTCTTGAATAATCACAAAAGGAGGACCCCAATTTAGGTATCAAATCTGCTGGAACACCAACGAGTGGAGGTAATTCAAACAGGGTAACAATGGCTATACCGGCATGGAAGAGAATGGATAAATTAGGGAGTAGCTCAGCAACAACAAAGGTGATAAGCAGTCCTAAGGAACAAATTGAGGTGCAATTGAACAAGGTGATGGCTCAAACATCTGTTACCCCTACCAGTACCGTAGGGGCGACATCGGCACCGGAGACTCACAATAATTCAACTTTGAAAGGGATTAGAGGGATAGGTGTTGAAGCGAGTAAGCAGCAAAATGGAGATGATTCCACAAAAGCAGTCTCGCCAAAAGGGCAAGGGGAGAAAGCACAAGTGATATCCTGGGCAAATGTTGTAGCGGGTAATAAGCTAGCAGCTAAAGGGATGAATCTCGAGTACATAGCTCCAATTATACAAGAGGGGAAGAAAATAGTGCAATTAGAGCAGGAAGACATTAATGAAGGAACGGTAAAATGGAAGCAATCAATTATCCTCTATGCGATTGGGTACTCTCCTACGATAGGGGCTGTTGAAAATTTTCTGATGGCACACTAGAAATTCACTACAAAGCCTCAAATCTTATACCATAATAAGGACTACTTTGTAATCAGATTCAATAACATGGAGGAGAGAGATGAAGTACTATGGAACTAATATGATCAATAATAGGCCTGTGATAATGAAGCCTTAGGCTGTTGACTTTAATTTTAAAAATGAAGTTCTAAAGACGATTCCGTTGTGGGTAAAGTTCCCAAACCTACCATTACAGTGCTGGAATAAAAGATCCTTAAGTAAAATTAGTAGTGGGTTAAGTACGCCATTGTATGCTGATGATTTCACTACAAATACTACTCGCATATCATATGCCAGGGTCCTTATAGAGATGGATATCACAAAGGAACTACCTAAATGTATATTGGTGCTTGATCTAGAAGGAAATCAATTGGATCAAGAAATTGCTTATGAATGGGAGCCAGAATTCTGTGGAAAATGCTTGCAAGTAGGTCACTCCTATAGTGAAGTGGAAGCCCAGCGCCCTACTGTACAGCAAACTAGAGGTAAAGTGCAGAAAGTTAAAAAAGTGTGGAGGAAGAATGATGCCACAGGTAACCAAGGTGTGCAACAAAATAAGGATGATCCCAGTACTGCCAACCTAGAAAAGCAACATGCGATAAACACTATGAGTAAAGAGGCTCCAAATGCAAGTACACAACAAGAGGAATGGACAAAAGTAGCAACAAAATCAGCAGCCAAAGCTAAGAACACAATCACATAGGAACAGAATGTTGGGACCTCTAATGGTTTTAACTCATTACTGAGGTCGAATGATCAATATGAGTATCAGATACAAAAGAGAGGGGATGCTAGGGGACAATGCAGCTACACTAGGGGGATAGGGAATACCAACTTCTATCATAATCAATGATGAATTTGGTGAAGTGGAATGTGAGAGGCATGAATAAAATACATAAGCACAAGGAGATGAAGGTGTTTATGAGGGAAAATAAAGTTAATTTTGTTGCTATAGTAGAACATAGAGTACAACAATGTAAAGAAGAGAAGATAATACAAAAAATAGCTCCTAATTGGAACTGGATTTCAAATGTCAGTACAATCACAAAAGAGAGGATATGGATACTCTGGGATCCTAAATATGTTGGATTCACAATGCTGGATATGGACCCTCAAATAGTGCATGGAACAGTGAGAATATTTGCTCTTAATATAGCTTTCACATTTACGACTGTCTATGATTTACACAACATAAAGAACAGGGAGAGGTTATGGATAAAAAATTAAAGCCTTGGAAACTACTCAGCAGGGACCATGGCTTATCATGGGAGATTTCAACACAGTGTTGCATCCTAAAGACAGACAATTTGGAGCCCCTGTACAGGAGGTGGAAATCAGAGATTTCAGGGATTTTCTATTTGACACCGGTATGACTGAAGTACAGTATATGGGCAGAAACTATACTTGGACAAACAATCATGTCTACAGTAAAATTGATAGAGCAATAGTGAATGGAGAATGGATGACCACAATGCCAACATTGCAAGTGCAAGTAATGGAACCATACTTCTCGGATCATTCCCCTCTAAGCATCCAATTTGGAAGGAGAAGAGGCAATAGAGGAAAACCATTTATATTTTTGAACTACCTAGCAGACGATGAAAGGTTGATTTCCTTGATAAAATAGTGTTGGTGTAGCATGGGCAGTATCTGGGCAAAACTTAAAGAGGTCAAGCAAGAGCTAAGACCTTAAATACACAGCACTATATGGGAGTAGATAAGAAGCTGAAATATCTTAGGGACCAATTAAAGGAAGTCCAGGAAAAGATGGATACCAACTTGAGGCAACATGAGCTAATTGAGGAAGAAAGAAAGCTGAAAAACCAAATAGAGAAGTGGGACCATATTGAAGAAAGTATATATAGACAGAAGTCTAGGGTGAAATGGTTACAACTTGGAGACTCAAATTCAGCATATTTCTTTGCAAATATAAAGGTTAAGAACTCACAGAATTACATAAGGGAGCTAAACAGTCTAAAGGGGCATTTGCTACAAAGAGAGAAAGACATAGAAGTAGAGATAATTGACTATTATAAATCCCTACTGGGAACTGCTGCCAAGACTGTGCCAGCAATACAATTGCAAGTAATGAAGCAGGGGCCAACTCTGAGAAAAAGTCAGTAACTTAAATTGATTGCACAAGTAACAAGAGAAGAGGTAGAAAAAGCTCTATGGGGGATAGATGATCTGAAAGTACCAGGATTAGATGGGTTAAATGCATGTTTTTTCAAGAAGGCATGGCCTGTCATTGGAAATGAAATCACCAAAGTTGTTTTGCATTTCTTTGAGACAACAGACATGTTCAAACCAATAAATTACACGACAGTAACTTTGATTCCAAAAGTGAAGACCCCATCATCCGTAAAGGATTATCGACCTATATCTTGATGCACAATCTTGTACAAAATCATCTCAAAAATACTTGTCCAAAGACTCCAGGATGTGATGGATGAGTTGGTGGACAATTCTCAGGTAGAGTCATTTCTGATAATATAATCATAAGCCATGAATTGGTGAAGGGTTATGAGTGGAAAGGGATCTCCCCAAGGTGTATGATAAAATTAGATATGCAAAAGGCGTATGACTCAGTAGAGTGGGTATTCTTGGATCAATTGATGGATGGTCTGGAATTCCCGGGAAGGTTTACAAGGTGCATCATGCAATGTGTGAAAACAATCTCTTACTCAGTACTGATAAATGGTCAGCCTTGTAAGCCCTTTGATGCCAAAAGAGGTCTAAGTCAAGGTGACCCGCTATCACCTTTCCTATTTGTGTTAACTATGGAATACTTCACTAGAAGCCTCAAAACTCTCAAAAGCAATCCAAATTTCAGTTACCATCCCAGATGCGAGAAAATGAAGATTGTACAACTTGGTTTTGCGGATGATATGCTTCTTTTATGCAGAGGAGATGCCATCTCTGTCCAGCTCTTATTTGATTGCTTTCTAAAATTTTCAAAGGCTTCTGGATTAGTAATAAACAAGCAGAAGAGCTCTATTTACTTTGGTGGTATTCCTGAGGTAGTGCAGAATGACATCCTGACAAAACTGAACTTTACTAAAGGGAAGCTACCAGTTAGATATCTTGGAGTCCCACTAAGTACAAGGAGATTAGCTGATGTACAATGCTACCCTCTACTAGAGAAAATGCTAGGAAGAATTGAATCATGGACAACAAAGTACCTATCCTATGCGGGGAGAGAACAATTGATAAAAAGTGTCCTATTTTCTATACAAACTTTTTGGGCCCAGGTGTTTGTTCTCCCAAAGAAGATTATTCACTTGATTGAGGCAGCGTGCAAGAAATTCCTTTGGACAGGGGGTACTGAAAATAATAAGAAGAATTTGCTAGCATGGGACAAAGTTTGCAGACCACTCTCTGCAGGGGGACTAAACATAATTGATGTGCATACTTGGAATAAAGTTGCTATCAGTAAGGATTTCTGGAATTTGTGGAAGAAGAAGGATAAGTTGTGGATCCAATGGATTCATACTTATTATGGGAAGAACAGCAATATGGGACATAAATCCGACTCAAGCATCCTGGATGGTGAGGAAAATCTTTAAGGCCAAAGAATACTTTGCAAATGTTGGGTACATGCCTGCGGATATAGTGGAAATGAATTCTTTTTCTATAAAGAAGCTATATCAACAAATGCAAGCGGACTACCAAAAAGTCTCATGGAGAAGGCTTGTATGTAATAATGCTGGAAGTCCAAAGTGGATCTTTATATTACGATTGATAGCTCATGAAAAACTATACACTAAGGACAGGCTTGCAAAATGGGGTATTGTGAATAATATGGCATGTCCACTATGTGAAAGTGAGGATGAATCCAAAGAACACCTTTTTTTTCTGTGCAATACTCAGAAAGTATGTGGAGCAGATTGCTAAAATGGCAGGGGATAAGAAGGAAACCTATGGGATGGAGTATGGAGCAAGAATGGGCCGAGAGATATGCTAGAGGCAAAAATGGCAGTGCTGATATATACAGAATGACCTTAGCAACATGTGGCTACGCTATTTGGCAAGAGGGGAACCTCAGTGTATTTCAGAACAAGAAAAGAGATGTTGAATGGTTGACAAGATCAATTGTGCAAGATGTACATGTGCTAGGTGCAAACAAGGTGAAGATTGCAAGCAAATTGGGAACGATGAATTGGTATCCATAACTATTGTACTACGTGAGACAACGCTTATCAATAGATTGATACCAGTAGCTTAGCTTCTTTTTGAGTAGTTACTACAGTTTGAGCCTACTGATCATACTATAGAGGTTTTGTTTTGAATTGTACAATAACACCTTTCCCTGGTAATAAAATTTTATTTATCAAAAAAAAAAATTATTATATACTAGTAATAAATATTACTAGTATATAATACACTCCTTAACTTTCTCAACTTTTCTAATATGAATTGTTTGTTAACATTGTTTCTAATATTCTATGTGATAACAAACCTCTGAAGTTGTGATGTTTCCATTATGTTCATTCTTATCAAGATTGATAAATGTCTAATGTAGCTATTATTTTAGTTGGACACAAGAACCGGGTTGAATTATGTCTTATTTGATTTTCACGATTTCAAAAATTCTAAGATCAGAAATAATGATACAGAAATTTTTACGTAAAAAAACTCTTTGCTTAAGGGAGTGAAAACTACGACACACCCCCGGCCAGTAGGATTTCCTCAAATTTCAGTAAACTTCAATGAGCAGTTTTAGGTTACTACTCTATAACCAATGGGACTAACTCTAGTACAAAAACCCCTACAATCAACTAAATTGTAGCTACCCCTTCCCAAACTAACTTTAGCCTAGGAAGCTAACAAAACTCGAAGTTTCTGTACTAACCTATGATTACATTTCTCAAAAGAAAATAGGTTACAATTTAGAAGATTTGACTCAATTTAACAACTAAAGAACTTCAACTGCTTCGTCTTCATGAACAAGTTATTTAATTGAAAAGCTTGAGTCTTCAAGAGTATTTTATTGCCTTGATTGACATTGCCTGGAGTAATTCTATGTGATTTCTCTCAATATCATTAACCTTGAACTGCGGCAAAAAGTCTCATTTAGTGTTGCAAAGTTGGCCAAAATTTTTTTTCAATTAATACTCCAAAACTTAGAATATTTTGGCTAAAAAAAATCTCTCCTATTTTAGTTTGATTTTCTTATTTGTTTTCAACTCTTCAACCTTCTATTTACAAAATTCTTTTTGACCATGGACTCCTTTTATTCATTTATTAGCTACATCTCATCCTACACACCAAGTAGCATATTTATATCGGAACATAAAACCTGGTTCTTTCACATGGTTAATCATGATTTATTAATCATCATAACATAACAAGTGCTCAGCTCAACAACAGCTTTTGTAAATAAAAAAAAATAACCTTTCCCAGCAAATTCAATAGAGTGTATGTATGTAGAATTGTTTGTTAAAATTGTTTCTTGTTATATTTTACTATTATATAGAAGTGGGAGTTAGGGTGTACGAATAGGGGCACTTTTATAAATATGAATTGAAATTCTCCTTGCATTTTTGCATTGAATTAGCTAGCTCAACAACAATTACATTTTTTATAGCTATAATGCCTTTTCTGTTGTGGTTTTTCAGGTATAACAACTAATTTAATCGTGTGAATTTCTTCGTTGTGCATGTGAATATGTGATTAGGTGGGAGAAATATCCCATGGTTCAAGAGTTGACATTTCAAGAATGCCCCAAAATTAGTCAAGAAAAATTCATGCACATTGGTTCCCATTTAAGGAGACAAGAGGGGTTGCTCTGATGGTAAGCAACCTCCACTTCCAACCAAGAGGTTGTGAGTTCGAGTCTCCCCAAGAGCAAGGTGGGAAGTTATTGGCGGGAAGAATGTCGGGGGTCTATTTGGAAACAACCTCTCTACCTTAGGGTAGCGGTAAGGTCTGCGTACACACTACCCTCCCCAGACTCCACTAAGTGGGATTATACTGGGTTGTGAGTTCGAGTCTCCCCAAGAGCAAGGTGGGAAGTTCTTGGGCGGAAGGATGCCGGGGGTTTCTATTTGGAAACAGCCTCTCTACCTTAGGGTAGCGGTAAGGTCTGCGTACACACTACCCTCCCCAGACTCCACTAAGTGGGATTATACTGGGTTGTGAGTTCGAGTCTCCCCAAGAGCAAGGTGGGAAGTTCTTGGGCGGAAGGATGCCGGGGGTTTCTATTTGGAAACAGCCTCTCTACCCCAGGGTAGCGGTAAGGTCTGCGTACACACTACCCTCCCCAGACTCCACTAAGTGGGATTATACTGGGTTGTTGTTGTTGTTTTATGCATTTTTTGTTTGGTTGGATCCATTAGATGCTGAGTTATTGCCTTGTGACTTATTGTTACTATTTACCTATTACGGATAGGTAAATACTATTTACCTATTATATTGTTGTTATTTTATTATGCATTTTTATGGTACTAATATATCGGCTCCTGTTGCTTTTTTGAGCCGAGGGTCTCCTGGAAACAGCCTCTCTACCCTTCGGGGTAGGGGTAAGGTCTGCGTACATATTATCCTCCCCAAACTCCACTTGTGGGATTATACTGGGTCGTTGTTGTTGTTGTTGTTGTTACCGATTACGGATGTGAGAACTTGACAATTTGGTAGAATTTGTTTTCCTATCTTGAAATTGCTAGACCTTTCTCTATAATCTAAGTAGCTCTTCTCGATGTTCTATATTTAAGCTTTCACATCCATATATTTCCATTATTTATGTAATTGTGATTTGGTGCATCAAATTATGCACATGGTTATTTGAGAAGAATGAGATAATTTTTAGGATGATTATTTAACACATGAATACATGTCATGGAAAGCCATTACCACTATCTTCTACTAAATCTATTCAGTAGATCAAGTAAACATTGATAAGTTAAACTGTAGTTTTCTAAAAATATATAAGAAGCTTAAACAGAGTAATTTGAGCTCCGTTTAAACCAGGTAAAAACAATTCCACAAATGAACAAGGTAAATTACTGTTGAAATCCAAACAAGTTTCTCCCTTCTTTTCCAGTTGGTTTTTGAAGTATTTTATAAGATAAAAAAATGGGAAAAGGGCCTAAACTATCCCTATTGTTTACTAAATGGTTTACAAA